CAAGCTTAGGCATGATTTAAACCTGGTTCAGACGCCGTACTTTTCATGTGCCGAACCTAATTGAATACGTTCGTCTTTGAAGCGAAACTCGCGGGACATCTGATTCAGACGGCGCACTGTGTGTCAACCCTTAGTTAAGTTCAACAAAAGTTCGACAGACTCTGTCGAACGTAACGCTTTTTCCTCACCAAACTAAAACTGCCGTACCAAATTGATTCAGACGCCGTTCTTTTTCCGTACTTAATTCATCAGTTAGGTTCGGCACATGAGTGGAGCGGCGTCTGAACCGGACCTTATTGAGTCCAAACAGGCCGTTTGACAGGGAGTTTTGAAAGTTTATCTTGGTATCTGGTTTAACTGGCTTCTCTCTGTTTTACTACATTGCAGACTGACTTGCTAAAGGAGGCAGCCTTTGCAGATAGCGTTCCAGATATGGATACTAATATCATTCTTTTCATCATGGCTCATCGCTGTACAGACACAACAAAACCCCGTAAGTGAATAATCACCAATGAGCCATTTTCCCTAACTCTCCTTTACTTACTTACTTGCTTCCGGTTGACGCCTAGACGACAACAGGAAGAAAACTGACCTCATAAGGTTCGATCTCTCATTCAACTTTCTAGATCTCTAAGGTTCTCCACACCAGTATCCCTCAACCGTGTGTTAATCCTTTAAGCTCCAAGATCCACATACAAATTCTCCTGGCTGATCTCCATACATTTCTTTTAAGAACAGTTGAGAGAATTTGGTTTAAGATCAAAGCATTCTCCCTTTGGTAATCAATTTAGTAATTTTCATAACCTTTACTTTTGATGGTCTGCTGATATAGTTAGAAGAAAATTGATGTTGATCACTCTTGTAACCTAAAGGGATGATGTATGTAGTTATTATTCATTCAAAATATGTTGTCGTTGCTGATTGGCTCCAATTCCCCAGTAATTCGTTATAACCAACTGGCGCCTACCATATTGAAAAGATGCGAGCGATATACCATCGATTCGATGGTATATTTGATTGGAAACGAGGCTGATGGATGCTATATTTGATTGGAAACGAGGCTGCTCAGGCAATAGTGAACCAAAGAAAATGGCGTTCACGGCTATTCGAAGGCGAAATAGTTGAATTTCTGACTCAAACCGAATAGAAGAAATGCAAGAATACGCTAAACATATTGCTCGATGGATGTTATCTCCTTTTTGAGGATTATCTGCAAGGTAAAATGTGGCTCTGAATAGGGGGTACCTCGATAACACTAGACATTTAATTTTTTGGCGTTGTAACATGAAACAGTTAAATTTTAGGCATTTTAACACTTACCGTAAAAAATTCTTTGAAACAGTAAATTTTTTGCAGAAAGAAGCAAAACCGGCTCCAAAAGGCCAATACGTTATTTTGTTTAGTATATCAAGGAGTTTTCGGCCATTTTAAGACAATTCCGGATTATTTCAGAAGATTTCCGAGGGCTACCGACGATTTCCGGAGACTGTCGAAGATTGCGGAAGACTAACGAAGAGATCCGACCATTGCCGAAGATGCCCAAAGAACCCCCCAAACACTTGACGGTATTTTCCTCGGAAACAGTAAACATTAAAAAAAATGGCCAATTTAACAGCAAACACTAAAAATTATGGGCAAATAACACTAAACACTAAAACCCCGTTCAAACCCTCTAAAATACCTTGTAATTTCCTGAAATCGTGCCGAGAAATAGGCCAAAGTCCACGAGCAGGTAAGTATGTGAAAAAATTAGAAATATTTTGAATGAGTACTAAAACAGTTATTGAATTCGGCTTTCGAATGATGTGAAGAAGTATGGATGTTATCCACCTCAGCCTTCAGCCTCGGTCGATAACATCCTCCTCGATCTGCATAATTCTTCACATCCTACACTGCCTCGTTCAATAATTATTATTTGTCGTACTTTCTCTTGCAGCCCTCCCATTGGACTTTCTAAAAGTCCTTGTTTTCCTGGTTGATTATGCGACTTCTTCGCTCGTGTGGTTCGTGCGCGACCTCATTGAAGCTCACTTCGGTCGCTTTTAAGAAATTATGAGAGTTCGACTTGTAGCAAGTCTACCTTCCAATGTATACGCACCAATGTTATCACCCGCTTGCTGGAGAGTTCTCATCTTTTTATGCTTGCCATATACGCTTACAGTGTCGGTTCTCTTTAGATTTCCGTTTGGATGCTGTCAGCGTCGTTGTATCGCGGTCTCACATTGCTTTGGTTAAACAGAATCCCCAGTGGCCTGCCCCTCGATACACAGAGATGCCCCAGGATCCCAAGGGACCAGCATTTTTGTGCTTAGCAAAGCACAAAATAACCGACGTTACTAGTTTGGTGGGTACCTTTCACGTACATCTTCCACTTCACGGCCAATTCAATAAATTACTAGCTTGTTCACAGACCCTCTGTTTTCTCTTTAGCGATCGTCGAGCGCGCGTATGAAGGGGGNGCTTAGCAAAGCACAAAATAACCGACGTTACTAGTTTGGTGGGTACCTTTCACGTACATCTTCCACTTCACGGCCAATTCAATAAATTACTAGCTTGTTCACAGACCCTCTGTTTTCTCTTTAGCGATCGTTGAGCGCGCGTATGAAGGGGGGAGGGGGTATTGACCGCATGCTCAGCGGTTTTCGAAAAGAAAACGAAAAAAACGGTTGTTTACTATTCACAAAACGTTTCCGGAAAATCCGTTTGGAAACTAAATGGAACATGACATTTTGGGTCATTCCATCGCCGGGAAGATTTCCGGGAGTAACGGAACATCTGAAAAGGTAGTCCTGTTTTTCCGGACGGAATATTCCAAACGGAAATTTGTGTGGCATGTACTCAAAGCCATCTTCTAAGAACAGTTTGAGGCCTTCGCGTTCTTTTCTCGTTAAATGGAACTGATTTGTACAAATGGTAAACGCGATTCCGGGACAAAATGCACCATTTCAGATTTTTGCGTACCATTATTTGCCTAAACCGTGGACCGACCGGTTTGACTATGTAAATAGGACAATCTCATGACTTTTGGAGGGCGTATAGTTTATTTGTGGCCCGAGTAGCATCATTTGCGCCCGAGTGGAGCGAGGGTGGCAATTATGCTACGAAGGTCACAAATAAACTATCTTCCCGACAAAAGTCATGTGATTATCATTCTTATCAATACACAAGGCCAAATCGTACAAATTTTTTTCATAAGGTAAAGATTGTTTAACATGAAATCATGTTGCGGGCTTCAAGTTCCATTTACAGCCCACATTTTGCCCTCTGGCCCGCGAAAAGGAGCGTTTGAGAGAAGGCAGTTTGTCATTTGGCCGCGTGTGGTGATAATAATCAATGGTAAACATCCAAACGGCTGTGTACAGGCTAATAAATTACCTCCCTGTGTCATTTTCTCTCCCTCGAGTAAAGTGTCCTTGTTTCTTATTTTTACAGGATTTTTACGAAGATAATCCATGTTTTATGGGCATCAGTATAACGGATGAGGTACGACTTTACCTAAATTGTTAAGTAAAACTTAAAAACGCAAATGACGGCTGGTCATCTGACAATGTCCCACAAAAATCGTATTTTCTTTCCAAGAAAGGAAAAAATGTTTTTGATTTATGCCATTTCTAGGATGCGCCGGCGCCTTTTGCAGACAGTCAGTGGATACTGAAGACAGAGACAGTAAGCACCCTCTCCTCCCTGGTGAAAGTTATCAAAGTCCCTTGGGAGAAGCAATTTGGTGTGGAGTTACAGAAAAATCTTTATCCTACAATCACGGTAGGTCTTGGCAGAGTTACTAGTTACAAATGCCAGCAAATTTCGGATGAAAACAATTGTGTCGTTAAAGACCCTTCAATGCAGAGGTCCACCCAACGCGTAAATAAAACCGACTGGTTCTTTCTTTCTGGATCTCCAATGTAGAGATGCTTGGTTGACCACCAATGCAGCTGCCTCTCAGCTCTCACTGCCGCGATGTTAAAATAAGCACTGTTTTCTTTCTTGCAGGAACACAGATTGTAAGAACCCTGTGCATCGTGTCAGATTGTTTCAGTGGTTAGGCTCCCTGTGGATGTATGAAGAAAACTTTCAACATTGCACCTTAATGTGTTTGCGGATATTGTAGCGCTTAGTGTATACCGTATACTTTAGTTATATTCGTCCACAAAAATCTAATAGACGACCTCAGGGGTGTAAGTACGTTTTTTAAAAGTGAGCGGGTAGGACGCACAGTGTCACACCCAGGGTACAGATGATCATCCAAGCTGCGATATGCTAAAAAAGACATTTTTTTCGGATAAGCAGTTTTGGTTTGGGGAGGAGGAGGAGGAGACACAAGCCTGCAAAACGAAATGCTTTGTCTATTTTTTCCTGTACAAGAACCACGGACGAAAAATCTTTGATACAAAAACAAAATTAAACAAATTGAACTTTCAATCGATGGTTTTTGCGAAAGATTTGCGTATAGGAAGGCTGAGATATAGTCATTCAAAGACAGTGAATTTTAGAATTTACCTTGGGTTTTGGTTTGTCAATTTTTTTAACGTTTTTGCGGAGGAAAAGAAAAGGAATACCTCTTAAATAGGGGGATCACGGCTACCCCAGGACCTTCCCTTTCCGGCTACGCCCCTGAACGTCAAACCACCATGTGTGTTATCACAATTGTACCATGAAATAACCTGTAGTCAGACAGAATATCAGCAGTGCTTGTGTATTCCTGTGAGTTTAGTTTACCCTTGAGGGGCTATGTCATGCTGATTGCTATCTTTCCTTAACCCTTTTCCTATAGAAGTAGTGGGGAGAAGTTGTTAGAGTATCAATTAAATTCATCTTTTGTGATCAATTCCTTTAATTCTTGTGACCATAATGTTTTATGGGGCGAAGATATTACAAGGAGAAAATTGATCCTGATCACTCTTAGGGCTTAAAATGTTAAAAGCTAAAACTTTTTTCGCAGAAATTGATTTCAATACATTTAAGGTCCGGTTTTGCTTTGAAACTGTTTCCTGTCGTCTGTTGCAACGGAGGACAAAGATGAACATAGATTGAAAATTGAAAAAGTTGAGCTAACTTTTGTCAAGTGTTAATGCCACGCCAGCAAAAAACACTCCGAAAAATATTATGTTTAGTGCTAATTGGTGAAATTTGCTTAATATAATATTCTGTTCATAACTCTTAAAGAGCATTTTGTGTAATGACTTCAGCACAGAATTAACTTAAAACGGCAATATGCTTGAGACATAGCCCCTATAATTTGGTCCTCAACTTTCCGTTTCGCTAAAAAACCTAAAAAAAAAATACCATCAAATGCAGAAAATTGAAAGTCAGCCTCTAATCTCTGTAAAATAAACAGCATGATAGTTTGCAAGAATAACGATGTAAGATGTAAGTCGAAGAATTCTTCTCCCATGAGACGACACAGAAAAATGCTAATATATTTGTGAATCCGTTTACCAATTATGACCAGCGTCAAATGTTTACTTTTACCCAAGCGGACGGGTTAAACTATTAGGAACATTTTGTAAATTAATTTCTTAAGTCTTAATAAATAAATAACATCTTTCTTAAAACGCCATATTTTCTTGTAGCTAATAACGGACAGGTATGTAAGTGTTCACGCAGGCCAAAAAAACTCAGTTTAAGTACTTTGAACAAATAAAGCTAGGCATGAGCAGCTATAAGCAGAATTATTGGTGGGAAGGGTTTTGAAAGTTTCAGGAAAGGTTAATATGCGAATACTATACAAGTCAGTTCGCCGAGTACACCTTTAAATTCCCTCACAAAGAGATTTTGCTACAACACTAATCTGAGTAAGTGTTAAAATATGAGGAAAACAGGAACACAAGTGTGATTTTGATACTTAAAGAGGAAAGAAAAGTCTTTAAAAACGGTGATCTAGTGTGGACTGGCAGGAAAAAAAAAACGTTCAAACGCTGCCGTCATAGCTACTCATGCATGATTTGGCTTTGCACTCAACAACGATTGAAATTCAAATCAAGCATTCCAATATGGTGATGTGGCAGACAATGAAAATGGAAAACAGCTTGTAGACAGAATATGTAGAGTGTCTTACATTCGAGAAGTTAAGGGACGACAGTTCTCTTGGGTAGACCATTCGCGCATGTCATATCGATTTGTAAGAAACAGGCTCAAATCGCCTGATAAACCTTCTTGACTAACGAATGAAATTCAGGAAGCGGTCAAGCATCGTGATCACCTCAAAAAACTACAAGATCATGGAAGAATTCCAAGAGCTACTTTTAAAAAAGGCCAGAACAAAGGTTGTGCATATGGTAAATAAGGCCAAGTCTGTGGCGTTCGAAAATGAACTTGAAGAAAACTAACAAGCAGAATTCTCGCTTATTGTGAAAAGCGTTGAGAAAACTTAGTCCCAATGGTAAATTAAAATCAATGCCAAACGACTTGAAGGCTTCTCGGGATCAATCATTTCGTCTCTATAGCGTCATCTATTGTAAACAATAATCAACCTGCTACTCCTCCCTGCTCACACATTGTGAGCTTTGTAAACGACAGAAAACCATCTACTGCAAACTTTGAAATCCCACTTCGATGTCAATTCTTCGGATAAATTAATTAAATCATTTCCTACAAATGTTGCTACGGGTCTCGATGGAATAAGTGCTCCATTACTAAAGCTCATCTTCCCGGCTATTCTTGAAAGTCTCACCAAGGTTCTAACTTGTAGCATCCAGTCTGACATCTGCCATTCTGCCCTCAAACTAGCACGTGTTACGCCCGTTCACAAATCTGGACCAGCTTCTGATCCAAACACTGGTTTTCGTCCGATTTCTGTTCTTCCAATTATTTCTAAGCTGCTTGAAAGACACACATGCACCTATTTAATGCTGTATCTTCGCTCATTTAATCTTATTGTTTCAACACAATCTGGATTTTGTCCTCACGGCCACTCAACTGAATCTATATTGATTAAAATGACTGATGACTGGCTTGAGACAATGGATCAAGGCTTATTCACTGGTGCGATATTCTTAGATTCACGCAAGGCCTTAGTCTCCCTCGCAGCCGTTTTTTGGATGTCACGCAACGCTCCCCCATGAGAAAGGAATGTAGTTCGGATGTCAGCAGCCGTTTCTTTGGGGAGCGTTGCGTGACATCCAAAAAACGGCTGCGAGGGAGACTAGCAAGGCCTTTGATGTTGTAAATCATGACCTGTTAGTAGCCAAACTGCAAATGTTTGGTTGCTCCTCGTCAGCATTACTTTGGTTCAAAAGCTACCTGTCAGACCGTCGACATTGCAGGAACCTTATCTGGTACTGAATTATTGATATCTGGAGTTCTTCAGGGCTCAATTTTGAGCCCTGTTCTCTTCCTCCTAGTTATCAACGACCTGCCTTTAACCTGGACGAATAGAAATGGCCTATTTGTTGATGATGCTACTTTCTATGCTAGTGCCTCAAATCTGACTGATGTTCAGTTACAACTTCAACGGGATCTTTCTATTACGGCGACATGACCAAAGATCATGGCATGGCTGCCCATCCGCAAAAGACGAACTACATGATAATTGGTACTCGACAAAAGCTTTCCCGTTGCGAAGAATCTGCCCTTTCGCTGTGTTTGGATGGTGGGCAGCTGGAGCAAACTCAACGTCTCTTGGGACTGGATATCGACCCCTCCTTATATCTTGGTCATCACACGAAGCTAATCTTAGGAAAAAAACTCTGAAAGCGCGTTGCTGTTCTGGCTCGTATTAAAAAATTCCTACCGGTTAACTGTCGCATCATTTTATTTAATGCTAGTATTAAACCTATTCTTGAGTACTGTGTCTCCGTTTGGGGAAATTGTAATGCAGGATTATTGGATGAGATTTTTAAAGTTCAAAAAAGTTGTGTGCGTATTATACTAGGTGCGCCGTTTCAGGCTACAACCCTGCCACTATTTCTGGAACTTGGGTGGCTACCCATCAATCAAATCTGCATTGAAAGAAGACTACTTATGCTCAAGAAAATCCTGGATGGACGTACACCGGATTACCTTTCTGAGAAACTGTTATCTTTGAAATACCACAAGTCTCATGATAGAAGGTCTCGGTTGCCTTATCGACTTCCCATTCCACGTACCAATAGTATGAAGCGGATGTTCTTTTACAATGCAGTTAAACTGTGGAGCAATGTCAGCGAAAATGTTTTAGTCCGCTCTTCTGATGTAAAGAAGTTCAAAAGAAATTTCCTTGATTCAGTCATGTGTAAATTCACGCCTGACAGTTTTAAAATTGACAGAATTTTTTAACTCTTTTAAATGACTTAATATTTCCTTACGGTACTTATTAAGTTTTTTTATACATGTGTAAATTCGAGAAAATTCTGATATCTAAATTATTTCTTACCTTAGGATTCTAGTTTTTTAGGATTTTTTATTTTATTTTAGTAGTTTCATAGGGCCATAAAGGAGAGTACAGTTGGTCTGTAATTACGCACCCTATTGAAATTAAAGTGTTCCTTCATTCATTTCACATCTATGACATCTGTGGCAGTTAATTTTTCCTCGTCATCATTTACGTGACTACAGATGGCTTTTATAAAGGCGATCACTGATATTGCACGCATCTCACTTTAGATGAGTGATCACAAATAACCCTCTATCCTTTAGTCGTCATGTCGACTGGCCAATCACGGAGAACTGTGGCAATTGCTGTGGATTCTAGCGACTACAGTGAACAGGCATTTAATTGTGAGTATTTTTAATATTGTTTGTGTTCATGTGTTCGGTAACTACCGGTTGTTTGTAATTTTGCGAAGTGCCTAGGTACTCCATTTCGTGACCGGTCGTTTCGCCCTCGAGTCGTTTTGTTAACGTCCCATTCGCTAACGTCTTATGTCGTGAAATGAGCTCTGTGCATGTATATACTTCGTTCCCTCGGCCATGATACAAGAAAGTGAGATACGCATGCATATACCTCGTTCTTTCTGCCACTGATTAGGCGAAATCAGTACAGGGAACAGATTTAACACGTAGGCGAAGCGGCTTAAGACGCTGGCGAACAGAACATTGGCGAAACGACTCTTAGGCGGAACGACCGTAAACGGAAAATTTAAGGATATTTACACTGTATCGGACATACACGTGTCGGTCCAATAGACCTACCGTCCATAGGCACAGCATTCTTTTAGCGTTTGAATTTATCCCAGTGTGTAACCATAAAAACAACTGCCATCCCCAGCTTTCTTTTTATCGAAACAGAGCTTTGAGTTTTTAAACTCAATTTTATTGAATCGTGAGTTTGGACATGCAACATGAAATTAATAACGTCAATCGATAATAATCTTAAAAAATTAGACACAGTCCCCGCAGTAGAGCAACTTAAGTGCGTTTGTAATCGGCAAACGTAGTTCGCGAGGTAAATCGTTTTTGTAATTAAAATTTTAACTATCCCCTGTGGCAGGGGATTATGTCGTTTTCGTGACTTTGATACTCTTTCGTATATTCATTATGATATCTGATACTTGAACGAGAAGATGTGCATGTCAGTCTTGAAAAGAACCAGGAACTCTGAACAGTCTTGAAAAGAACCAGAACCTGTAGGGAGAATGTTTCTAAAACGGGAAGCGGGGAAAGGGCACTAGGGAACAGAGAAATGAAAAATCGGAACAAAACCTAACCTGACCCCTTACCCTATTAGTAACGTCATTTCCACATCCCTGCTTTGATCTCATTTTTCATTTTCCCGTACGTTCCCAGTTCCACGTTCTCCGTTTTAGTAACATCCATTTACAGAGGTTTCTGGAAGCAACCGGTACAGTTAATTTAAGGCATTTTACATTATATTTTTGTTCCCTCACTAAAAAGCTCCAATTTAATTCTCCATTTTTCCCACTAAAATGCTCCATTTCCCCCCAAAATGTCACTAAAATGCTCGGCCCGGCTCATTATACAAAGCCGAAGTATGAGTAGTAATTTAAACTTCCGAGGGTTTTTACGCTAACAAAAACGTATATGCGGTATATTAACAACAGCTTATACAACTAACTTATAGAAACAAACGTTCCCTCAGAAGTGAATCGATTATTCGGTTAGTGATATTGTCAAGTTTTCCTCACTCGATTTGTTCAATTTTTTTCACTTCTTCATTCTTTTTTGTTCTGTCTGTAAGCTATTCTCTCTCTCAAAGCCATTCAGTTCGCTACTGGGTCGTCCAGTAACGAACTTAACAAATACCAACTCAGTAATCCTGGCAGTTAGTTTTTCAGGCAGACAGGCATGAAAGGACTGCCTCGTCCTCAGTGGTCCCGCAGCCGCCATATTGGAGAACGAGAAGACCCTGGGGACGAGTCAAAGTGCCGGGGGCGATCTACCTCTTTTAAAGTGTAGTTGGGGGGCGGGGGGTAGTGGGCTTTAAAAATGGTTTACCAGGTGCCGACTCAATATTTTTTAATACAGTTACAACTCATCAATTTTTCGCGTGTTTCATTCTCTTCAAAGTTTGCCCGTTCTTTCCTTGCGGCTGTTTAGAACCTTTCCTTAGTCATTGTTGAACGGGGCCATTTTTTAACCTTCGAGCTGCCGTTAAGGACCTTTTCCTGCTGCGATGGCTGCAGGATTAACCAGCAGAAGTTTGCAGATCGGGGCGATTTCATGCTCCGCTGAAAGTTATTCATGTTGTCTTCGAGTTTAATTTGTTTCAAGAAATCGTAGCTCCGTACCTTGGTAGAAAAGACTCCATTGTTGAATATATTACATCACCTGGCTGTTGAATACGCAGAAGTCTACGACTAAGTGCAGTTTTATAAAGGCTTACCACTGATGATATAGGATCGAAACGGAGCAATCATATAAATTTGGATGCGTCACCGAGGCCCGCCAGACGAAAATTGTTATTCCATCAAAATTCCTTGTTAAAAAAGTGTATTTCTTAATTTTATGAAATTTTTTTTTCAAAAAGTTGGGGGACCCTGCCCCCCTTCCAGCCCCTCCCCCTGCGAGGGCCCTGAATGCAGGCTTTAGTCTCTCGGTCAAGCATGGCCATACCGTAGTTAAGAAAGTGGAACGGTTATAAGCCCGACAGACTTCTTTGTTATATGTTTATGTTAGCTTTATTAGACTTGACAGGGAACAACGCTCAATAGTATTCCTATCATTTTGAACTAACTGACCAAAGGAAACATCGCATTAATTCATGCCGTCACAATTTGTGAACAAAAACCGAAGGATGATGGTCAAGGAACTTCCAACGTAAACTGCAGCACCGCTGTTTTCATCTTTGAAGTTTGCAGGCTTTTATAACGAGTGTCCTGTTGGTCTAACATCGTATCCAGGATCTCTCGTCCTGGGAAAGGAAGAAAAGAAACCCTGGGTTGTTTTTACTCATTACGTCTGTCAGCGGTAATAGTCGTGGTTGTTGATGGTTGTAGTAATGCCACCAATAGTGTATAACGGTGGTATCACTAATATATGGTACCAACTGTAGATGGTATAGATACGGCGAATCATAATTATCAGCACGGCCCCCATCGCCATCACCAACATAGTTCATTTCTGTCCCTCTCATTGTGCCACCGCTTGTACGAGAGTGACAGAGAGAGAGCTAAGGACCAGACTAACAGTATTAACAAGATAACCACACCACCAACTACCCAACCATTTTACTGTAGAATGTTTTTTGGCTGCGAAAGTCGCGATTCATTAAGTAACCATAGCAACAGTGATCTTGAAAATAAAATGTTACGACTGTTACCTTATTTTTTGAAGTAAATGCCTGATGAAATTAAGGGATTGGAAATTAACGCGATCTTAAGTGGAAAACGACTTTCAAATAAAGAAAATTAACGCGAAAGAAAGGTAACAATTCAAATGAAGGAAATTAACGCGACACTCACAAAGAAAGAAAACTTGCTGAAACAACGGAAATCAAGGTAAACATATAATCTTTAATGCAAACTTTTTCCGTGGTACTTTCCTTAAATGTACGAAGGGGGTCAAGCGGATGCTAGCGAGGAAATCTGCTGACCACTTCGAGAGATCTTCATAGTTTCTCTGTTGCTGGCGGATTTCCACCCTGATAAAATACTCCCCTTTCGTAGGTGTCAGGAGATGTCTGAAGTGTATACAAAATAATGGAAATTAAGGTCTGGGAAATTAACGCTCCACTTAATAAACGGCGCGGAAATTAGTGTTTCAAGAAATTATCGCGACTTAAATTAACGCGAATGTTTGAAGTTCGCGTTAATTTCATGAAGCGTTTATTTCCTATAATAAGGTCACGTGTGAAGATATCATGTTTTTGCGCGAAAAATATTAAAATATGTCATTTTCACGAATTACCATCTTTTTTAAGGGTATAAGGAACACGTCTATCATGATGGAGACCAACTGGTTCTTATCCACTCGCACGAGTTGCAATCGCCGGTCTTGTTAGGTAGGTACTTAAGTCAGATCTCCAAAACATTTCATTTTATCCATTTAGTATAAGAGCGCGAATATAGCAAATCATAACTGAAACAACAGCAACTTTCGCTCTCAGGCTTTTCCTGCTAGTTTTTATGGATATGTCTTTATTCAAACTTGTTTCTTTAGCTCAGATAGCCATGCCTAATTTACGTTATCAAAAAAAAAACGTTTGAATTACGCATTACGTAAATGGTCTGTTTTTGTCCCCTCTGTTAACAGGTATTCGATCTAATTCCGCCCCGTTTTACTGCAGAAGCTGGGGGGTATTTTATGTCCATTTG